GGGAGTGAGGCATGGTGGGAAGGAAGAGGAGATGATGGAGTGGGGAATAGTGGGGAGGACCAGGGGACAGGGAAGTGGGGAATAGTTGGGGGGCCGAGGAGACAGGTGAGGGAGGAATGGTGGGGAGGACTGGGGGACAGGGAAGGTTGCTGTGGCTCAGCAACGCACATGCATTGCTGAGCCACAGCAACGCATGGCCGGGTACTGCTAGTTCTCAATAAACGTGATGCCAAGAAACCCTAACACGAGTAAGTTAGGTCGTTTTAAGACTCCATTCCCATCTTGTGGGCCAGTTACAAAAAGGTTTTAATGTCACATAATGGGTCCAAGAAATGACCATAAAAATATTTTATGATACATCAGCAATTTGCATTTGGGATAAGTTACATATAATTTTGATTTGCAGCAGTAGAAAGTTTACAATCAAGTGCTTACCTACAGTAAGGAAACTTGGGATACTTGTCTAAGATTAAATACGAATCTTCTCTACAATTTTTACGTTCTTTACTTTGGAAGATGAAAAAAATACTCCCTGAACTTCCTTTTACTTTTATTGAGCCTGACACGTGTCATTCAAGGACGTGTTTCGCTAAAGCCCCTCAACATCATCAGAGACAGAGGGAAAGTAATGTAAATTAGCAGGCTTGTCAGTTTACATACCAGGTAGGACGAGCTGTTACCCAGTCGAAGGGCATGGGCAGTCCTGATCTGCGTTCCCATTGCTTGCTTGGGACAGTAGGTGTGGTGCAAGCTAGCAGTTCTTTCTTGGTCTTGTAGATGGATTAAAGAATAAGCTAGCTTGGCTCAAGAATATGGCAAATGAATAAGAGTGAAACTGGCTGTATATAAATAATAGAATCGTATTGAGTCAACATATAGGCTTTTAGCAGTTTTCTTTATTCTTAATTTTGTTTTAAGTTTTAATGTATTATTTTGTCTTGCACTTAAACATTGTGGTGAAGGATGTTGCCTGAGTCCCCCCGCTGGCTGATTCTTCACAGCCAGTACGAGGAAGCCATCAAGATTCTCCACTGGGCTGCAAAAGTCAACCGGAAGACACTGCCCTCAGACGAAATTCTCATCACTGCCTTAAAGAACATAAGGATGAAGGTGATGTTGTTTGTGGGAGTACAGCTCCAAAGTTTTTAGTGTAATTTATTTACAAATTGGAAAGTATCGCCGTAGCAGTCAGTTTCAACGACGGCGAATCTAGGAGTGTTCTAAATGTTGTCTGAATATGATTTGTATGTAAATGAAAATTTCTAAACAAATATGTTCATATAAATTCGTGATTATGCAAGCCAGTGGATGATGTGTGTCATTACGAATGACTTGTTTCCTCGTGGACCAGCACGTTCTCCTAAGGTTCCCAACGTCAAGAAACTATCGTACTAAAGTGCCCTTATCCTAACCTACCAGAGGACCCAAAACAGAAAACGGGACAATATGTTAATTTCTCGAGCCACTATAATTTTCTAATACGAAAATTTTTGGCCTTAGATAAAGTATGCGTCAAAATGCGACGCTCCATTAGGCGGACGGGTTGTCATAAGTCTCCTCACACCATTAATGATAAGGATAATGGTACAGGCTGTTCATATATTTTAACAAGAGCATGCAACTTCATGATGGTATAAAACATCAGTTAAATTAATAACTGTGCATTACTACTGTACTACTACTCAGATGTTTCACGACATGGGGGCAATAAACATAATTAATATCTCAACAGGAAACTATGAGCTTGGAGAGTGAAATTTGCATAATTCTATAAAGTTATAATTCAGCGAAATCACTGGGTCTTAATAGACGAGTTGCATCCGTGATAATAGCCTAAGTTACCTGTGCAGAAATGGGCTCACATGGACTGGACATTAAGTCATCAATTTCTGCAGCATTAATTACTCTTTAATAAAAAGAGTTTTATTTAGAAAATGATGCGGGATAATGATACTTCGTTCTGGAAACAGATCCAGTCATAGTCTGCCTCGACAGTCTTGCAATAATTCGGCAATAATTTATATAAATAATACAGCCATTATCTGTATATAATGCATTATGATTCGGTAATATATTTGGTAGAAAAAGATGTAGCCACAGTCTATATAACAGGGAGCCGGGCACTCTGTGTAACAAAGGCAGACAGTGACAGTCTATATAAGTCAACCATATTGTATATAACATGTAGCTACAGTACTGAACGAATGCAGAGACAGTCTATTCAACAAGAAGTAACAGTTTATATAACAGATGCAGAGTTTATTTCAATAAAAAAATCAAAATGTTTATTTAGGTAAGGTACATACATAAAAGAGATTTTACAAAGAGTGATGGATTTATAGTAAGGGCTAGTACATACTATGCCTAAAGCCACTATTACGCAAAGCGTTTCGGGCATGAAAAACTTAAATGACTAAGGCTTAATACTAATTGAGCATAAAGAGTAAAATGAAAACATGGAATGAAAACATAGCTGAAAAAGCAGCACAAATACAATTCTGTCGACAAACAGCGCTCTTTAAAAAAAACTGACATTGGATGACATTAGAGGGGTAAGGTAGGTTACAGGGAATTTATTAGGTATAGCTTCGTTTTTATCTTAAACTGGTTGAGAGAGGTATAGTCTTTAACATGGTTGGGAAGGTCATTCCACATTCTGGGCCCCTTGATTTGTAGAGCATTTCTAGTTTGATTAAGTCGTACTCTAGGAATATCAAAACTGTATTTATTTCTGGTGTAGTGCTCATGGGTTCTGTTACAACCTTCTATGAAGCTTTTGAGGTCAGGATTGGCATTACAGTTTAGCGTTTTATATATGTATAATACACATGAGAGAATGTGCAGTGACTTAATGTCTAACATATTCAGAGATTTGAGTAGGGATACCGAGTGATGTCTGGGGCCAGAGTTGGATATTGTCCTAATAGCAGCTTTGTGTTGAGTAATTAGAGGACGTAAATGATTTTGGGTAGTAGAACCCCAAGCACAAATACCATAGTTGAGATATGGATAGACGAGGGAGTAATAGAGAGTCACCAGGGCAGGGCGGGGTACATAATATCTGATCTTAGAAAGAATGCCAACAGTTTTTGAAACTTTTTTTGATATATTTAGAATGTGTCCCTGGAAATTCAGCTTGTGGTCAATGAGAATGCCAAGGAATTTGCCATCTAATTTGTTACAAATTTGGGTATTGTTTATTTTGAGATTTATTTGATTAGAGGATTTATTGCCAAACAGAATATAGAAAGTTTTGTCAATGTTAAGGGTGAGTTTGTTGGCAGTTAGCCAAAGATGGACTTTATTTAGCTCAGTATTTACTGTGGCATTTAGAGCAAGGGGGTCAGGACTGGAGTAAATGAAGGTTGTGTCATCAGCAAATAGAATTGGTTTGATGTGTTGGGAGGCATTTGGAAGGTCATTAATGTAGATGAGAAAGAGGAGAGGTCCAAATATGCTGCCCTGAGGAACACAAATGTTGATGGGTAGGGTAGGAGAAATGGAATTATTCACAGAAACATACTGGAGCCTGTCAGTAAGGTAGGATTTGAGGTATTGCAGGGAGTGTCCTCTGACTCCATAATGATGTAGTTTAAGAAGAAGGTTTTGGTGGTTGACAGTGTCAAAAGCTTTACACAGGTCCACAAATAACCCAACAGGGAACTCATTTTTATCAAGAGCTGTATGAATCGAGTTAAGCATACTAATAAGTGCATCGTTAGTGCTTTTTTTGGGTCTGAAGCCATATTGGCAAGGGCTAAATATATTGTGTTTGGCTAGATAAGAGTAAAGCTGCTTATAGATTAGTTTTTCAATTTTTTTTTTACAAGTTTGGGAGGATTGATATAGGTCTGTAGTTGTTAACATCTGTGGGATCACCACATTTGTGGACAGGCGTTACTCTCGCTTTTTTAGAATATCTGGAAAGGTTTGGAGTTCAAGTGACTTGTTGAAGAGCAATGCAATAGCAGGGGCTAAAGATCTGGAGGCTTTTTTGTAAATTAAAGTTGGTATCTCCTCAAGGGCACTAGACTTGGTTTTAAGGGAAAGGATTATCTTATTGACGTCAGTGGAATTAATAGGCTTTAGGTACAGAGACTGTGGATAGTTACCTGTGAGATAGTCCTTAACATCAGTACTGGAAGATGGAATATCATTTGCAAGGGATTACCCAATGGAAGAGAAGAACCTATTGAACTCAATAGCCGAATCTGAAGCTGAAAGCTGACCATCGTTATTGGAAAGGAGTGTTGGTTTGTTATTTAAGGGAGCATATCGATGTAAAATTAAAAGTGGTTCAATTTGCTTATAAATGTTTTTATGAAATGGGTATAGAAAGGGCTGCAGCTGGTCTAAGTTTCATCATCACACCCTAAACAGAAAAGGAGAAAAAACATAAACAACGAATTATGCAACGAATTTTCAAATAGTTTCAGGGAACACATGTGTCAACTAAAATCATTTCTATAACACTCAGATATTAAATTAAGCACATAATAAAGGATTCTAGTGATCAGTTTTATCAAAAAAGTGTTTAGTGCAATAATATAATTTTTCAAAGTTACCCTACTAAAAAAATATGCAATATATGATATTTATAAATTTTTATACAATCAACAAATAGACTTTGGACTAAAATGTCTACTAGAGTCTGTAGAAGCACAAACGCTACATATAAGGTGTAATTTGCATGTAAATTGATTAATAAATGAAAGCTCTGAAGTAATTTGAAGGTGTAAATTACTTTCCAGAGTAAAATAAAGATCAAAGTTCGGCCACCTGTAGCTGAGCTTGACTTCGACAGATTTCGTTCATAATTAGCACCCTTGCAGATAGGCATCCATTGAGCAAGGTGTGCAAGTTTCATGCAAATCCCTTGATAACAAACGAAAAAAAAAATTGGCAAAAAAAAAAAAGAAAAAGAAAAGAAAATATTTAAATATAAATATATTGAACATACATATTACAATTATTACAAGAGTTTGTGCTTCTACAGCACATAGTAGACATTTTAGTTGACACATGTGTTCCCTGAGATTATTTGAGAATGTTGAACATTCGTTGCATAATACGTTGTGTATTTTTTTTCTCCTTTTCTGTTTAGGGTGTGATGGTGAAACTTGGACCAGTTGCAGCCCTTTCTATAACCATTTCATAAAAAAATTTATAAGCAAATTGAACAATTTTAATTTATAACGATATTTTTTGATATGCCCCCTTAAAATCTTATTTGATCCCAATATTTGTGAAATTGTGCTCCAAGTTTGTTTAATGTTGCTCTTTATTTGGGTAAATTTATCTTCGTAGTATTTAGTTTTGGCTCGTCTAATTATCTTAGATAGCAATAATGAGTAATTCTTTGAGAATTCTTTGGAGACAATTCCTAACCTATACTTCTTCTCAAGGTCATGTTTTTTATTAATGGATTTAAGTATTCCCTTTGTAAGCCAGGGATTGTTAAGCCTTTTGGTTGTGACTTGTTTTGTAAGCATAGGACAGTGGGTGTTATAAAGACTAAGAGTTTTTTGAAGAAAAGATTGCACTGCTAGGTTGATGTCCCCTATGTTACCTAACTCGGACTCCCAGTTGACATTATCAGCAGCAGTTATAAAATTGTCTATAGCAGTTTCATTGTGCAGCCTAAAACTTAACTCCCTTCACTCTAGTGGTGGTTTGCTAATGTTAGTTAAGAGAAATGTGGGGTAATGGTCTGTAGTTCTATCGGTGATTATACCTGAAGTAAGCGGAGAGGTTATGTTTGTCCAGATGTGATCTAGAGTCATGGCAGTACTATCAGTGATTCTAGCAGGTCTAGTGATTAAAGGTATGAGGAAGCAGGAATTCATACAGTTGAGGAAGCTAACAGCAGTAGGATGTTCAGGCTCGCAGAGGTCAATATTAAAGTTCCCTGCGATTATTAGATGGTTTTTGTTCAGTCTGTTATCGAGTATTAGATTTCTAAGGTTTGAGTTGAATTCGGATACATCAGTGTTAGGAATTCTATAGACTGCACCCACAGACAGGACAGACTCGGCACCCTTGACTCTGAAGCTGGCGAAGATATACTCCCCACAGCAGTCTTTAGTTCTAATTTCTTTTAAGCATGTTAGTTCTTGGTGGTAGTAAAGAGCAGTGCCACCACCTCTCTGAAGTTGATGACAGTTGTGAATTGCCGAGTAGTTAGGCATGTTAAAGAGTTGAGTAGTATCCTCTTTCAACCATGTTTCAGTAAGTATAATAAAAGAGAATTTGTTGTCAATAGTTTCAATCAAGGCACTAACATCATCGAAGTGTTTACCAAAGGATCTAACGTTCAAGTTGATTACAGAGATATTGTGATTATGAGTTAATACATTGTTTACATCATGTGCTGCAAAATATCTGCAATTTAGATCATTAAAGTGATGATTGTCATAGATAGTGGATAAGAGGTTTAGTTCTGGGTCTATACTTATCTGCATAAAAAAGCTGATTGCAAGAAAACAATGCAAGAAAGGCAAATTACAAAGTAGAATTAAGCTATAAAAGAGGGAAAAATTTATAAACAATACTGTACAAAACAAACACAAAATGAACAACAAAAGAAAAAAATGAGGTAGCTTACAAGGGACTTACAGGGGTACAATGGAGTAAGGGAGTATGGCGAGGCTAGACAACCTAGGTAATAAATGAGATTAAAGAAAAAACATATAAACATGGGCTATACAAAACAAAAGATATAGAAATACAAAACAAAGATATAAACAAGACTATACAATACAAAAACAAATTGAGCAAAAAAAAAGAAAAAATGAGGTAGATTGCTTACAAGTACTCTCAGGTACACTGTAAGTAACAATTTGCAATTTGAGATACAGGCAAAGCCAGGGGTACAATGGAGTAAGGGAGTATGGCAAGGCTAGGCAACCTAGGTAATAAATGAAATCAAAGAAAAAGTTGAATAATAAACATAGGCAAATTTAAGCTAATGATTATTAACTATAAATAGTTTAGTTATGACTGTATAATTAATAAGACCTGAAGAAATATTAATGCACTCAATTAATTAAGTTCAGTAAATGACTAGTTAAGAGTAAGTTTAAAATTAAGTCAAAAAATGAAACAAGGAGACTTAGGATACCTAGCCCCACTAGTTGACAAGGGGTTAATTAAGTTAATTCATTGAGAGTGATAATATGGTGAGACAAACCACATTGGGAGAGGAAAGTGTTGAGGTTCTCTTCATTAGCAATTGTAAACATTTTGCCCTCTGCGGTTTTTCTCACCTTTATCAGTCCATCTCTAACGAAGCACTGATGAAGCGCATCTGGGTTTTGTTGACGGATTTGACGCAGGCGGTAGAGGAGTTGCTGTCTGTTCCTAGTCAAGCACTCGTTGATGTATAATCCCTTCCGTTGGGATGCAGCTGTCCGGACAAGATGGGATTTCATGAACTGGGAAGTCAGCTTCAGGCGAATTTTCCGCTGGTTTTGACCTGATGGATTCTTTTTGCCTACTCTGTAGGCAGCAATAATGTCAGTTTTGTTTAAAATGACCTGCAATTTGTTTTTTATGAGAGCCTGAGCTATTTCGACACACTTTTCACCTTCACGTTCCACAGGTATATCTTGGGACGACACAATAACAGAGTCTAGCAGCTTTTGTTGGTCTTGTTCTTCCTGGGAGACGGAACGTTGGGCGGATAATGTACTGATACATGCAGTCATTTTGCTGAGAGCTTCCTCCTGTTTTTTATGGTTTCATCAGTTTTCAGAAGATTGTTTTCCTCACGGAGATCATTCGAGTCATGCTGGAGTTGGTCTTGGCTAGCCTTTAAGTTTCTAATATCCTCGCGGAGGAGGGTTATTTCTTGTTGTTGTTGTTGGAGATTCGTGCGGTTCGCTAGATTCTCATTTAGAAGACATTGACAGAAGATGATAGCATTTTGAGACTCGAGGACTAGGCACAACTTTTTGAACCACTGATTCTCGGTCCAGTTAGGGAAATCCGGTGAGGGACCGGTAGCTCGCTTGAATTGCGTAAACTGGGATGTTAGCGTGTTAATAAGAGAGGATTGAGAGGACACTGCTCCCTGGCTCAATGGGGAGGAGGGGAGGGCAGCATCGCCGCCACGGACCCTAGAGCTTCCAGACGGAGAAACACGAATGTTGTTAGAGTTGGCCGGGATGGATGCCTTGTTAAGGGGTTTGTTGCCCTTATTTCCCTGCGCAGTCACATTTTTAGGAGACATGATTGGTTAGAATGGACTGGGGGTATATATTGAGAGGAAGCTTACGTCAGGCAGCGCGGTGGCGGGCAGCATGCACTGGTACTCACAGCCGTAGAGGATTGTTTTGAAATTTGTTTGAGATGGAATGAGTTGATTTTGGTTGGTTACTTTGGTTTTGCTATAACATGCTTGAACTCCATGTACTTAGCTGCCTGTGGGTGGCGGTCTACATCATCTGGTGGTAGTTTAAGGGTTGAAATACAGCTTAGAGTGAGGAGCGTAGCGTGCACTCAACCGCGTCAGACGACAGACGAATGTAGAATATGCTTTCCATGCTTAACTATGGTGTTACTCCTTTCGTCATATTCACATTTTTTAATGGTGAAAGGCTTAAACATTTCATATACTATCATCCTCCCATGGCCTCTGTAAATATACCACAGAATGGCACCATATTTCTCACTTAAAGGGCATCCGGTTAAACTATTTTCAGTCATGTCAAAAACTTCGTTCATAAGTGTTTCTACGTTTATAATTGGGAGAATATACATAAAAAATACAGTACATTAATTACTTAAGTTACAGTAACAGCACGTAGACATTAATAGAATCAGAATTTTTTGTTGGCCGTTTTGGACTTTTTGGTAAGCAAATTATGTCGATTTTTTAATAGGGCAATTTGTGTAAATAATAAGATTGATTGTTAAGTGAATGATCGTATCTACATTTACCATCGTATACTCAACATGTCAGTTTTTAAACAGTACTTTGATTTAAGCACGTATGGTTTTCCATTGTCGAGAATTTAACGCCTGTACTTACCGAGGCACTTGTAGGCTAGGCCAACTGCTCACCTACCCAAGGATGCAATCCACAACAGTTACCAATTCTGAGGTACCTAGTTATTGCTAGATGAAGGGGCATGAGGTGAAAGGAAAATGCCAAAATGTCTGACCTGTAGTCAGGTGTGAACCGATCTCGCTGACCGCTTCCACAAATTATAAACGGTACCTGATCTAATAGTACATTAACTAGAATATTAAAGAAATGTATGGAGATCACTTCTCATACAGACATTAACAAAATTTGACCATATGCTGCACTCTAAACAAGTGAAGCAGCCATATACGCTCTGCTGTACAAATCATAAGCAAAGTTAATCATTTCACATTCGGGATGCTTCCTTTCTGCTAAAATTGTTAATGTGATACATTTATGCTAAAAATTTTAATGTGATACAGTAGATGAATATTACCTCATCCGTTTCACTGACCTCACTTGTGTGTACTTCAGGAGAAACCTTCTAAAGATGATCAAGAATCCACGGCAGAAGTAACTTCCCCAGGCCAGTGGGTGGTGGCAGTACTGAAATACATATTCATATTGGTTACGGACGCTAAGGTGCGGATCAGAGCCCTAGTCGTCATCTACCTCTGGTTCGCTACTGGGATGATCTACTATGGCGTCAGTCACAATGCTGAAAACCTTAGGTATGTGTGACTTCAGTATTCCTTTCCATGTTTGGGTTATCTTTAGCTGGGTTAGTCTCTATTGAACAAAAGAAGCCCTTGACTCTATTAAAAGTGTCACTAACTGAAGGTAAAGATGTACCTGAAAGCCACCATGTCTCTATAGTGGCATCGATGGGGACAGGAGGCTGGCGGCTTGTGTGAGAGCAAATGCATGAGTGTGTGGGAGTCCCCCCCCCCCCGCCTCCTCGAGTTGTCACAATGGATATAAAATAGTGTACTAAAACACAAGAACGTAGTACCCTAACCGAGCTACCAACACATAAAAAACGTGAATACGAGCCTCTGTGATTTATAGTATATCATATTTTGTCTGTTGGGGGATTATGACGTGAATAAGCGATGTATTTCCAGAGGAGACGGGGTGTGTAAGCGAGCGTGTGAGTGGGAGTTTATTTTGCCTGGCTAACAAAGTATCAAAGAAATGATTGTGCTAATGAATATTTATTTTAAGTATCGACACACCTGTACAGCCACCTGCATCAAGAACCTTTTCAATCGTTGCCACAGCGCTGATATCTACATATACTTTTTCCTGAGCGGCCTGTTCGAGGTGCCTGCCTACCTCTTCCTCCTCCCAGCGATCACTACCTTGGGTCGCAGGAAGACGCTCACTCTCCTGTTTCTGGCTTGTGGAGTTTCCATCTGCCTTGTGGTCGCCCTCATGATTATGCAGCAAGGTTTTTGTTGTGTTTTGCTTGACTCGTTCCTCCTCAGTTTGCATAACTAACATGAGTTTTGCATAACCAGAGATGTGTCTGTGTAAAGACGAGTGCTCGTCTGATTAATCAAATAACCATTTTGCTTCTGATCTAGGGTTTTCATACCCTCAAATTAAACAATATCTTGATGAGTTCCCTAAATCTCGCATGCTTCTTGGCACCCAATTTTCTAGCATACTCCTATATAATCTTGTTTCTGGTGTTTTATTTGTAAAACGTTTCCTTTTTTGTGCCTAATACGTTTCCTCATAACAACGTCCGACATTGTTTCCAACAAGGTAAAGCAGATTTTAGTAACCTACTCAATTTACACATTAATCTCGCACTTACCCTATATAGAAAAATTGCAAAGAATCCTGCATACACACACACACACATACTGTACATATATATATCATATATCGATTACACAATCGACACAACATGGGTTTGTTAAAATCAGATCCTCCCTTACAAACTTGCTCACATTTTTTAAAACGGTCACCAGCTACTCAGACTTCCGGTAGATGTATTATACATGGATTTTGCAAAAGCCTTTGATAAAGTACTACATGAAAGACTGATAAGGAAAGTATAGGCCCATGAAATAAATTGTAAAATTTTAGAATGGATCAAACAATGGTTGAAGGAAAGAAAACAAAGGGTCCTGCTAAATGGAAACGAATCTGGATGGGGAAATGTGATATACAAAGGAATACCCTTGTGGGATACCACAAGGGTCCTGTGACGCTGTGACGAACCTCGGTACCATCTATGATCCAAGTTCCGAGTTGAAACAGTTTAATCCCCCCCCCCCCCATTGATAATGTTTCCCATCTTCTAGTCTGTTGTTCTGGGTGATGAGATACTGGTAGTAGTAGGGGGATAAGGCTTAGTTCAGAGTTTTGGTTTGGGCCACTGTTTCCGGACCCCCTTAGCTAGTACTTTTCTTTTTAAATATACTCACTGTGTCACATAGTATTTAATAAATTCCCAAAATATACTCGCTGTGTCACATAATTTTAGGTAAAATTTTGACAGAGTTTTAGTACTCACTGCGGTCTTAAGGATTTCTTATGGAGAAAAATACTTTTTATATTATTTAAGATTTAATATATATTTGAGATTTAAAACATAGTTATTTTTGACGTAGTAAATAAGATCAAAACAGTTACTGAACTCCGGCTCATGTCACCTGCCTTAGTTTCTCTTACAACTTCGTTACTATCTACCCTATTCCCCTGAAATTTTAAGTCTTTTTTTTTCAGATGCAGTACATAAGATCATAACAGCTACCAAGTTCCAGCTCATGTCCCCCATCTTAGTTTGCTCTTGTAACTTCGCCACTAACAGATCAATTGCCATGAGACTTAAAACCGCTGAATTTCAGATGGAGTAAGAAAAGAAAATAGAGCTACCGTGCTCCAGGTCATGTCCTCTGCCTTAGTTTAATCTTGTAACTGTGCTATTTACAGTTCAATTCGGCAAAATTTTAAACAGGTGTATTTCAGACTTAATAAGAAAAGAAAACAATGTTACCTAGTTCAGCTCATGTCCCCCCGCCTTAGTTCACTCCTGTATTATCAGTAATATTTCCGTAAGAATTAAAATATAGATATCTCAGTCTCATTAGGAACAAAATAAATAGTTACTGAGCTCTGGTTCCTGTTCTCTTCATTAGTTCAATGTTCATCAAACATAGTTATTTCTGAGTAAGTAGGTAAGTGAGATATCTCCAGAAGCCAGGGAAAGGCTTAATCTACCGATGCCATGTCCTATCATTTTATGTACACATAACCTCTTCTTCAATACTCATGTTTACTTAGCTGTGTAAATACACACACAGGTAGGAATAACTGCTAACAAGCTTATCATTGTAATAATTATCAGCTCTCGCCAAGAGAGCTCTATTTAAATAGAGCTCTCTTTTTTCTCTTTCACTGAATTTCCAAGTTATTTACTGTATGATTATTAGTATTCTCATTTCTCCTCATTCTACATCAATCCCTTTCTATATTGTTATGCTTCTAAATGTTCCATGAGCTAAAGTCTCACGGAGCAATGCTTCTTGTATAAAGAGCTATTACCGATAGTTTTCTTACCATTTTTTGTCATGACTTACTGCTAATCTCGTTACACTTTCTTACAATTTTCCTCTATCATTTACATGTTCTCTCCATGTTCTTAAATTTCTCCAAATGTCCATTCCATAATTGTATGTTCTCTCCATGTTCTGCGAAGTTTTACAGCATGTTCTCTGTACAACCTGTTACACGTTATTCGTGTTCTAAGTCAGTTCAGTTCAATTCATGTTTTCGCATTTTCTCTAGGTTTTTTCATATTAGCCCCATGTTCTCAGAATTTTCTTACATATTCTCTACACAACTTGTTATACATTATTCATGTTCTCAGCATGTATTCTGCAAGTTCAATTCATGGTCCCCGCATGTTCTCTGTGTTATTTTCATATTCTTATATGTTCTCCATTTGTTTCATAAACCAATGTACAACTGTTTCTGTCATTCAGTAACCAATTTGTTTATCACATATTATCAACAGCATTACTGTTTCCCAACAAATTTAATTAGTACAGTTCATGATTTTTTTTACATATATACAAATTATTTCGTTATTTACAATTTTTTCTATTTTTTTAATTACAGATTATTTATTTTAGTTATTATAAATTATTTAGTCAAATTATTTATTTCAGTTCATAAATTTTTTAGTTATTTTCACATTATTTGTTATAAAGCATTTATTTAGTTATTCATAGAGTTTATATTTTCAAAAACTTTGACAATATATTTCTGCTTATCAACTTAATAATTCCTACTAACACTTCTTAAACAAAACAAAAATATGCTTTATTCAGTAACAAATTTACTAAAACAATCTTTGCTAAACGTTTTTTAACTAAAATAGCTCTTTTTTTCCATTCGAAAAAATAGTCAAAGAATATTTCAACACTTTTCTTAACTAACATTATCCTTTATGGAGTAAGAAAAAATAGTCTTAGGTAATTTTTTCATAATATTTATGAACAAAAGTTACTCTCCAAGACATTTTTATGCTTCATATAATATTCTCAAAGACACCAAAGATTATCTCATAGACATCAAGATACACTCAGAGACATCAAAGGTAATCTCAAAGACACCAAGATACTCTTCGAGAGACCTAGACACACTCAGAGACCTCAAAAATAATTTCAAAGATATCAAAGATATTTTCAAGGACATGAAAGATAATTTCAAAGACATCAAAGTCTCTCTTTGAGATATCAAGTTTTCACTCATAAACATCAATGTTACATTCAGTGACATCAAAAACACTATTTGAGACATCAAGGATGCATTCAGAAACATCAGGGATACTCTCTAAGAGATTTTTGCGCTCTAAAGAAACTTTGTAAGACAGCAATAATACATTCTCAGATAATCTAATTAATATTTATAATCTTTAACGCATCTTTATATAAAGGAGATACTCTTTAGAACTTCTTTGTGCATTAAATAAACTGTCACTGTTACAAATATTATTCTTCATTCAATAAATAAATAGTCAAGAGCTTTTTTTGATGTCTTTGTAATTATCTTTGATGTTTCTGAGTGTATAGTGATGTATTTGAGATCATCTTTGATGTCTTGAAGATTGTCTTTGAGGTCTCTGAGTGTATGTCCTGATGTCTCGAAGAGTATCTCTGACGTCTTTGAGATTATCTTTAATGTCTTTGAGTTTATCTTTTATATCTTTGAGATTATCTTTGATGTATCTTTGATGTCTTTGAGATTATCTTTGATGTATTTTGAAATTATCTTTGATGCCTCTGTGTGTATTTTTGATGGCTTTGAGTGTATCCTCCTTACATAAAGTAGACATTAGAGTCTTATTGGAAGCATAAAGATGTCTTAGAGAGATTCTTTAAATGTACGAAAGATGTCTTAAAGAGTAACTTTAGTTTAGAAATATTATGAAGAAATTACCTCAGACTTACTTTCTTACTCCACGAAGCATATTGTTAGTTAAAAAAAGTATTGAAAGATTCCAATGACTATTTTTCGAAAGAAAATGAGTTATTTTAGTTAATAAATGATTCAAAGATATTACGCTTGACTATTTTCAGTTGAGTGAAGAGTGATTTTAGATAAGAAACGTTAAGAAAAAATTGTCTTAGTAAATTTGTTACTGCGTAAAGCGCAGTTTTGTTTAAGAACAGTGTTAGTAAGGAATATTAGGTTGATAAACAGATATGCATCGTCATAGTTTTTTTTAAATAAAATCTCGGTAAATGACTAAATCATTTGTAATTAACTAAAATAAATAACTTGTAATACAGAGTAAGATCTTTGATGTAGTCATCAAATGTAAATAATTAAGTAAATAATTCTATTTGTTGAGAAACAGTAATGCTGTTGATAATTCATAACAATGAACTAGTTACTGAATGACAGAAACAATTGTACATATGGTTTTAAGATCCAAACAGAGAACATGCAGGAATATGAAAGAACACAGATAACATGCTGGGAACATGATTTGAACTTGCAGAGAACATGCTGAGAACATGAGAAGAAGTTGCAGAGGACATCAATAACGTAAAGAACATGTAAAGGAAACTTGTAGGAAAGCATAACGAGCTGTGCTGAGAACATTCGAGAACATGTAAAGAATGGAAGAAACTTTTAAGAAAGTGTAATGAGCTGTGAGAACAAGTAAGAACGTGCAAAGAGTATAGAGACGTTGTGTAAATATATAATAGGTGTAATACATTCTTACTGTTATTTATTTATTTTTTCACCTCGAACGAAGATAGCTTTTGGAGAAATATTCTTCCAATTAAACCATGATGCAAGAGTATATGTATATATATATATATATATATATATATATATATATATATATATATATATATATATATATATATATATATATATATATATATATAACGCACTTCTCAGCCTATATATCAAGGCCCG